CTGTTTGGCGTTCGCGCGGAGGCCTGGGGCCTCGCGCCCCCAACTAGTCGCAGCCACGCCCAGCTCCATCCCGCCCCCAGAGCCCCTGGCGCCAATCCTCCGTCAAACATCCGATTCTCCTCGCCCATGGGGCCGGGCGGCGGCGCATCGTCTTGACCCGGCGGCGGCGGCGCTAGAACAGGCCGGGCCCGGTCTGCAGCGCGCGGCCCCTGACCCGGGGCGGCCAGCGCAGGAAGCGCCCCCTCGGCTGGGGCCACCGCCGATCGCGAAGCGGCGGCGCTAGCTGCTGCCCGCGCAGCCGCCGCACGCCCCCCCACCTCTCCCCCTGCACCGTCAAGCCTTCGACGCGCGAGCTGCAGGCCCCCACGCGTGGGCGCCCGAACCCGTGGCGCCCGTCGCAGCGCGAGTTCGGGCCGACCTCGTCGACGATGGGTCTCGCGACGGACCTGCGCCTCGCGGCAAGCATGGCAGCTTCTGGGCAAGCTGCAAACTCGCGCGCCCCACGGCACGCACTCGATATTGTGGAAGAGACTCTTCGACAAGCGCTGGCCGCCCACCCTCCCCGCGGTCGCCCGGCGGTCTTTCCAGCACTCGTCGCGAGGAGATGCTCGCCCGCTGCCCAGACCCACGTCGACTTGGCCCACCGAGCCCGGCCTCGCGGCGAAAGATGCGATGGATCTCGCAAGCGACAGTCTCGGTGAACTCGCATATCGCCCCTCCGCATGGGGGGTCCTCTGGGGCGCCTGCACCGAGATGGGACCCACCCAGGACGTCGAACCACCCACCCGACCACCCTGTGATCGAGCGCGCGCTCCGCCCCGCATCGGGATTCGACGGCGGCCCTCAGCGCGCGGAACATGCCCCCGACCATCCTGTTGGCATTGTCGATGGCGCCTTTGCTCTGGGGGTCGCGTTCGGGTTCGCTTCTCGGAATCAAATCCTCCTGTCGCCTGAACTAAGCGGCGCGGAGCAATTCTTGGATGGCCGGTTCGCCGTCGGAGGCAAACGCAACGCAATGATGCCCTACGCGCGCATGGCCGCCACAGTCAACGCAACCGCAAAGGTGGCCGGGCCCATCGTCGCAATCTGTCCACGCTCGTTCGCCCCCAGCTGGCGCGCGAAGATGTTAAAGACTGCCACGGGTTCTCCGTCGATCTCCCACATAAACACGCAGTCGATGCAGCCGAGTGGGATGAGTGCTAATGGGTTCTGCGAGCGGCACCACGCCAAGCACAACCAGACGAAAGGGAACCAGGGCCTGGCGCAGTAGCATCGACCTCGGCGGCGCCGCAACCTCCGCATCCGCCACCGCGGGATCCAGCGAAGCCCCGAGAGCAGCCAGGGCAAGCCGACGAGCAGCGAGAAGGAGTCCGACGACGGCGAGGCGACGGAGCACTCCATCATGTCTCTGGAGAGGCATCAAGACCCGAGGCATTCCAGCGATGCCTGACCGAACGGCCGAAAGCAGCACCGTCTCACAGCTCGGCCATATCGATAAGGGCGCCTGTTCTGCCTCATGGGAAAAAGCCAAGAGTGGATCGGCGAAACGCGGATCAGTTCGGCGGTGTCCACGGTCGGCCTGCGGACCCTCAGCCAAAAGGTCCCCCCGCTGCAATAGGGCTTGACCGTGCGCCCGTCGCTCAGAAAGACGCACGGCTCTTTCCGATGATGGGGGCGCGGCCGTTCTCCGCAAAGGCGTCGGCGTTCACGCTGGCCCTCCTGGCACTCGCTGCATGGAAACCGATATGCAGGGATACGCCTGCGCTTTCTGCCGCCACCACCCTCGCGCCAGTAGATTTGACCTCCTCTCCCGTCGCCGGCTCGCAAAGGAGAACAAGGCTGGCGGGCAGGAGCGGTGCATACGCGGCAAAACAATGCGGGCAAGTCGCGGGCCCGGAGCCAGTGTAGAACAGCGCCCAATCGCACTCGACAATGCCCCCGTAGATCACGGCCCAGGCGTCGCACTGGGTAGGGCCGTATATTTTTTCCGTTAGCGGCGAGGCGGCGAAATCCGCTCCAGCGCGAAGCTAGATAGGGGCACTAACTAGCGAATTGGCCGGCAAGCAAAGATGGAAGGGGGACGGCCGAGAGGAAGGAGGGACGTTCAGACGCCGAAGAGTTCGACGATGAGCAAAGGGCCGTAGATCACGCCAACGCACCAGTACTCCTCGGGTGTGTTGGGGAAGCCTGAGGGCTCGTCCGAACGGACAGGGGTGTTGCCGAGCTGGACCGTCGACGCCACGGCTGAGGTTTAGTGCTTCCCCCCCAGCCGTTTCGCCGTTGATCCCGCCAGCATTCTCCGTCAGCGCTGCTGTCTTCAGCGTCTTCTTATCGTCCGCTTTCTTCGTCCGATTGTCTACAACCAGGCGCCATGCCGTGCCGCAGTGGTGGCAATCACGAGCATCCTCCCCCTTGAGTGCCTGGCGTCGCCCAGCGTCTCTGAACTTGGCAGATCGCCTTCAGTTCGCATCTGGGCTCTGTGAACGCATTGGGCTTGGACGCGTTGGGGCTAAAGTGGTCCGCGAGCTTGTCATTATTGACCCCTGACGTGACCACTCCCCTGGTTCGTGTTGTCCGAGATGGTGTCTCCCGACTGGCAGCCGCACTCCCTCACGAGCAGCTTGAACTTGGCTAGCGAGACATCACGGGGCAGTGGAACTCGTAGGTGGTGATCGTACCAAGCATCGCGGCGAACCTGTTGGACTCATTGGACGCGTACTCTCGCAGGAGCTGCCACTATGCTGTAAGGCCATCTCCCCGTGGCGTGTTCCTGATGTCGACTTTGGCGAATTCTGAGGTCAACGATACAAGGACGTAGTAGAGCTGAGCGTTCATCGTGATGTACATCTCGCCCTGGACTGTGATTGAAGATCGTAGCCTGCTGAATAAACGTTCCGAGCCTGGGGTGCACAGCGTAGGTGTATGCGTACGCCTCGAAGTCGAAGCTCCACGCCTTCCAGTCTGAGTGCAGGTCTGATAAGATATGAAGCTTGCTCAATCGCCTGCTGTTCACCATCTGGCCGCCGAAGAGCTGGGTTGCTGTCCTGGGGCCCTCGGCACCGTCGATCGCCATGGCCGCTGCAAGCCGCTGCCCAGCGAGCTGGATCCGTCGCTGGAGATCCGCATTCTCTGCAAGCATCAATCGGTGCCTGGTAACCTCGCCCTCCATGCCTCCATCGCGGAAGGAATGCAGCCGACGGCAGCCAGAAGAATCGCTCGACCACGCTCCGCTACCATCCGCGGAGTCGCGTTAGAATGTGGGCCCCTCAGGGCCGGATCAGATCATGATTAGCTCATCACCTCAGGACGCAAAAGTCAGAACGGTTGCGTCAGAGAGGGACAGACAATACTGATCCTACTGCTTCTGCAGTACCTTACCATACGGATATATCATAATTAGATACTACACAGCCTGACGAGGGATAGTTTTGCTGCGCTGCAGGCTCCTTTTCAACACGACGCTCGCGCTCGGGACGTCTTCAAATTTCATAGCCAAAACTACTCTGGTGTCCAACAGCTACCCTACACGGATGGAGGCCGCACCAGTTCAACATGGGGCTCTCGCTTGAGATTTCTTCAATATCCGGCCCAAAAATAAAACTGTTTTCAACAGTTACACGGATGGGGGCCGCCCACTTCTTTAACGTGATGTTCTCGCTTGAGAACCCCTGGCCCTGCAAGACCACCAGACTTGCAAAAGAGCGCAACCGTTACACGGATGGAGGCTTGCTTTTATCTGGTCCTCATCCTCTTCCTCGTCATCAGAGAATTCCCCCTTGACAAACCCCTGGGCGTCGCCTTGACCAGCTCGGCCTTGGCACATCCACAAGAAACCCGCAGATAATTCAAACCGTTTTCCTGTGAAGCCAATGCGAGGCCAAACAAGCTTCAGGTTATTTGCATGGGCCCTGCCTGTCATCAGAACAGTATCCGACTTGAGGGACCAAAGAACCAGGTAAGGCATTTAGGTCAACTCTTATGCTGGCATGTGTTCCATTGTGTTCCATTCCTGCTATGCCCTTTTTATGGTATAGGATTATCTGCTATGGTGTGCTGTGGGTTGTGCTTCCATCTCACATGCCATGTGATGGTATGCTGCTATGTTGCATCAGCCACCGTGTCGTAGGCTTGAGGGTCCCAGATCCCATGTTCTGGGCACTCCAAGGCGCGCGTGGCTTTTTCAGAGACCTCGGGGGCATGACTGGGAGTCAAATCTCAAACATCATCTAATGTTTTCAGGGGCCCGTGATGGCGCTCTCTCGGGGGTTTCTTGTGCTGTTTTGGAGTCCCTCGAGGCCAGCCCAGAAGGCCAATCATTGAAGAACACTCCCAAGTTACCTCAGTAGGCCTCTGGGGGGGGGGCGGGATGGGCTGATGGCTACTAGAGTGGCCCCCTGTGCCTGCCACAGGGGTATATGGCGCGCCAATGTTTGGGGTTCTGGTTCTCCCAAAAGTTTTGCAGCGCTCTCTGGTCCAACCCGTCGGCCACCTGGAAAGCGCTTCATGTTCAGCATAACATTCGCCTTCGAGACGCCTAAGATGGCCCAAGATGGCCTCCAAGGCGACACCAAGACGCCTCCAAGACGCCTCCAAGACGGCCAAGATGGCCCTACGATGGGCCTAAGATGGTCCAACCTGACCCCAAGATGGTTTCAAAACGACCCAAGATGGATCCAAGATGGCTCACAATGACCTCAAGACAGCCCAAGAGGCATCCGATAGAGACCAAGAATGCTCTAAGTTTATCTTCAGGAGGGTACAGAAAATGCCAACATCATTGATCACCTCCGCAAAATGTGTCAATTATTCTTGCGCTCACAAGGGCCAGGGGGACATAGAGAGAGAGAGCGAGAGAGAGAGTGAGAGGGACACAGGAAAGAGGAGACTCATGGAAGAATGGGAGGGAGAGGAAGGATACGGTGACGGAAGCGGTGAGGAGAACAGAGCTCAGAGGCGCGGCGCTGCCACGCTGCAGGGTCGGCCGGATGGCTGCTCAGGATTCACCTGAGAGCGCCGCTTTTAGCACCGCCCGCCCAGCACGAGAGGATCTGGACGGCGCAGAAGGCCAGGCCAAACGACCACGTGACTGGACGACAAAGAGAGAGAGAGAGATAGCGAGAAGGATAAAGAGAGAGAGAGAGAGAGAGCGCGAGACACAATGAGAAAGAGAGAAAGAGACAGGGATGGACAAAGGTATACATGTATAAAGAATGAGGAAAAACAAAAATATTCAACGGCTCGCTCTCGCGCCGTTTCGCTCTCCTCCCAGAGAGCCCGCGCCGCTCAGCCGAATGTATATCTGCAATGAGCACGCACTGCACTGGGATGTCGACCCCACATATCCCGACCTCTGGCCCTCTCCCTCCCCTCCCCCCCCCGCCGACCCCCCTTCTCTCTTTTTCTCTCTCTCTCTCTCTCGCTCTCCCTCTCTCTCCCTCTCTCTCGCTCTCTCTAGTCGCGTTTCGAGAGCTCTGCTCAGAGCGAGCCCAGACGCCAAGCGCCCCGCATCCTCCTTTCTTGCCGCGCGAGACTGGACAAGACCCACCCAGGTCGTGACACATTGGCGTCCCCGCCGTACCCCGCAGACGGCCGCAGCCATGGCTGCGAAGTCGACTGGCCGCCGCCGCCTGCCCTCCAAACAGCCAGCACCGCGCAAACTGCATGTGGAAGGAGCACCCCTTCATCGCAAGCAGATGTGCGTCGCGTTACTCGTCAAGAACGGCTGCGATCGAGCCACCCAGGCGCGCAATCTACTGGCACATCACCACGTTGACGACCTCCAAGATGCCTTTGACAAACACCACGACGACCCTAAAAACTAAGCGCCGCCCTGGCGCGCTTGCGTGCGAACCACGGCATCCGCTACACGCAGGACCACTACGAACACACCAAGCAAAAACGCGAGGGAACGATCAAGGCCTCACCGCCAAGCCGCACGCCCACAAGCTCCAGGTGCTACAGCACCATACGTCTGCCTTGACCCTGACAACTGGTCTGTACAGGTCACATCGGCGCCTACAAAAAACGTCGACGACAGTACCACCTACCAAAACGACATCTCCCTAAACGACACCGAAGACGGCGACAAGATCCACGAACAAACGTTGGGGCAGGGCACCCGCCCAGACGTCGCCATGGCCATCGCCGTACTTGGCCCTGTCAACCCTACCTACGTCGGCACTCCCTTGCCGTCCCCGCGCTTAAGCGAGGACCCAAAGCGACCAAACCAGTGCCCACCGTCATAGACGGAACGCCTTACCAACTCGGCACTCAAGTCCGATGCAAGCAAAACGTCGCTCAGGTCCAGCTCGAACCGGCACGCCACGTGGCCTGGATCCGAACCACGCTGCACGAGACCGACGCCATCGCCGCACCCTCCGTGCATGAGCCCTTCGAGGACCAGTTTTCGGGCGCTGCCCCGATCAACGGAGGTCCCAGGCAGCAGAGCAACAAAGGGGGCGGCTCGGCACAGGACCGAGCCAGGGAGAAGAGCAAAACGTCCAAGAAAGACGAGAGAAACTCTGCCAGCTCGACAGCGATCTAGAAGACATAGTCACTGCCCTCTTCCCCGCCGCGAAAACCCTTGAGCCCCGCAAAGCCTTCGGACGCTTCGGCTCCGGACTAGGCAAACGATCCCCAGCAGTCACCTCTGGCGCAGCACAACAGGATGCTGTCACATAATCACATGCCTCAGGGCTCATGGGGGGCCACCCACGGACCGAGCAATCTCAGCGCCAAGACGCCCGTTTATCAGGCAGTCTGGTTCCCGGACGGCCACACGGGAACGCTTGCTACACCACCTCTACCGAACTGGCGGCGCACGGGGCCGTGAAGCACGGGAGAACATGCGCCCTCGGCATCCGAGCACCGCGCGATTCACAGATCGCGCGGGACGTTGCCCTACGAGCGCGCGGCGCTGACGCATCGCTTGCCACAAACCGCTACAGGATTGCAGGCATAGAATCCAAATGCACTACCATCACCCAGGTCAGCAAGGTGCTTGCGGCCCTCGAATTGACCTGCGAAGTCTACCACGCGGCCTGAGATGTGGAAATTGCATCCCATTTTGCCCCCTCCCGGGCACACGGACCAGCGCCGAACGCCACAGTAAAGGTCCAACAGTGCACCGCCCCATGGACATTGCCGAAGCACCCTTCACCGACGCTGCCACTAGGAAAACGCACCACCACATAGTGACGCCCATCACCATTCACGACGTCCACGCATACAAGTCCCCCATGAGAAGCGACCCCAGCCCTTCCCCCAGACTCTCAATCGGGAAAGCGGCCCCCGCCACCAGCGGCAAGGGCGCAGCCATAGGGCAGCCCCCCATCAATCGGACGGTCGCGATCGCTGAGCGCCACCCGACCCCGATCCAACAGCGCCACACGCCGCCTGCGCTTCGCTGCCGCCGTGGAAGGGGTCCACATCAGCCCAAAGAAGCGTGGCCCCGAGGGCTCTGCTGACACCCCTGTGCCCTTGGAGGTGGACTCCGCGAGCCCAGTTGCCCCTCGCGAGACCAGCGAACAACAGAACCAACGGACAGACGCGCCACCCCTTCCCGCTCCACGGACATCCATCACAAGAACCAACACAGCTCCCGCGTCCGAAGCCCAAATCATCCATGGCTCGGAAAGCGAAGAGGACCGCGGGGACACCTACTCTGAGGACTCCAGGGAGGATTCCCACGAGTTTGGCTCGTGCAGCGTCTAACCAGACGCCGCTGCCGTCCGACTGGTCCATGACCAGCTAGCCTAACAGCTAGCCCATGAATGGACAACGCCCATGACCAGCTAGCCCAACAGGTCCATGGCCTCCAAGGCAACGTCGCACAACTAGTGGTGCCCCATCCAGTCCACGCTCACTGACACTGATGTCAGACTAGAAGGGGGGGACTCCCAGCGGTGGCCGCAGAACAACAGTCCGCTGCCAGTGCCACCAACGCCATGCGCAGCGACCTCCAGCAATTCCTGATAGCCCTTCAGACAGGCGGGCTCACCACCGCCCCAACACCAGGGATCACCGCTCCACCACCCGAGAGCGGCAAAGTTGCCGATCACCCCACTCCGATCACCGCCCAAAACGCCGAGGCCGCGACCGCTCCCCCCAGCCGCAGTCGTAGCTGCCGCGGCGGGGGCCGCCGCAAAAGGCAAAGGCAAGACCGAAAGGGCACCCCCGCATTGACGGGGCCCCCGGGGTCTGCCTCAACCCCTAGAGGAAGTCCTGTTCCCTCTCCATGTCTCCAATACGCCTCGATGTCGCTCCTATTATATACCCGCCTGTGGCAGTTTTGCATCCAGCACGCGCGCGCTGCGCTTGGGGCGCCAGCGTGCTCGGGGCGCGCACGTGCGTCAGAGGGGCGCACAAGCACGGGCGACGAGGACCACGAGCGCTCTGGCACTGTCCGCAATGTTTGCCTCAAAAGGTCTTGCGAGAACTGCCGTGCACCGAAGGGGCCATGCGAGCCAGCGCCCTCAGCGTGCCACTCGCTGCACCCAGTCGGGCCCAAGGGCGCCCGCCCCTAAGCGGCGCCCCCCCCCCCCGACGGGCGGTCAAGCGCGGGCCTCCGCGGTTGCTACATCGACCAAGTCCAGTCTTGCCGCGCAGACGCTGACCTTGCATCTGGCACGTTCCACCCCCGCGGCTACCGTTTTAGCACCGCCACTTTCGGGTCACAACGCAGCTGGGGAAGCCCAGCAGCCAGACTCGCCCACCTACTCGGCCCACATCCACATTACCCTTCCCAGGGTGAGCGATCTCATCCTCACCCAAAGGAGAGACAAACGGCCAGGATCACAGGCTCCACGAGCGCAAACCCCGACACCGACGCCAATCCACTGGCGCGCAACGGCAACAGCACTCCCAGTACTCCCACCAGCACCTGGCTAGTCGGTCCCATACACAGCGACGACGCGTCAGACCAGCAGAGCACACGACACTACGCAAGCTCTCACAACTAATCAAAAACTACACCCGAGGAGGCCAACACCACAACGATCCCGACAGCATACGCGACACTCACTGGGCTCTGATCCACTTGAAGCCCATAGAAGAGGCCTGGGCCCCTGGCGACGACGGCATCGACGAAATGGCAGCATGGCTCAACGACTGCCTCACTTACGTTTCAATGGTCCTACACCTTCCACAGTTCGACCAGATATTCGCCAACCTACCCACGCCACTCATGGAGCTCGAGCGAGCTCGCACGACAGGTGACATCTGCGCGCAGGCCTGGAGCCGGACTGAGCTGGGGATCGGCGACGCACCGCCGTGGCACTGAGCCAGCTAACGGGCCTGGCCAAGATCGAACGCTTCTAGTTCTCACTCTCGATTTCTATTGCGCGCGAGCTTAACTGGCGGGTTTGGAGGCGCACGCGGCCCGCTGCCCCTCCCCCGAGCTACATGCCAGGTGCACGGGCCCTTCTCCAACCAAGGCGCCAAACCCCCAAGCGCGCCCATACTCGCGGAACTGCACCGTACCGCCCCACCGCAACCACGCGAGACTATCCCTACTGGGATGGGCCCCTCGCAAAACGGAGAGGCTGACACGGCACTAGCAGAAACCATCAGCATGGGAGCAGGGTCGCTGCTCACAGGTGCGCTCAAGAGCCCCAGCGAACCAGGAGGCCCACATGCCAACATGCGCACGAGTCGACCCACAACGGCGCGCACACGCAGGCTGACGGGCACGAAGCCGCGCCGCACGACGCATCACCCAGAGGAGCGGGCAAGCGGAGGCGCACCCACCGACCGACGCCGAACCGTCGCGACGTGACCCAACCAACAACCCCCCTTCTGACCGTAGGAGCCCATCCTCAAACAGCCAGGGGGAAGATGACCCACACCCCTGCACAGCCGGGTCTTCGGAGGCACCTCCCACAGCCGCCATCGCCAGGCAACGTAAACTCATCCCACCAGTCGAATGCCCAGCGTCAGCTGACCACCAGGACCCCTAGCACGGCACGGCGATGTACCTCCCAGCCACGACGGCGCTGGAGAACCTG